AGAAGAAGAAGAAGAAGAAGAAGAAGAAGAAGAAGAAGAAGAAGAAGTAGTGGTGGGTGGGGGTGTGAAGGAGGAAGGGGAGAGAAAGAGGAGGAAGGAGAAGGAAAAAAAGGAAGAAGGAGGAGAAGGAAAATAAAAAGAAGAAGGAAGAAGAAGGAAGGAAGAGGAAAAGGAGGAACGAAGAAGAAAAGAAGAAAAAAGAGGAGAAAGAAGAAGGACAAAGATGATGAAAGAAGAGGAGGAGGAAGAAGGAAAAGGAAGAGAAGGAGAAGAAAAGAAAAGAAACTTTTGGGATGCCTTCTTGAAGCCACTCAATGACAAATTAAATAAAATAAAAAAAAAAAGGCACAATATCCAACACAGTAAGTATTCTAAAAGGAACCAAGATGAAAGATTTGTTGAATACAAAACTAAGATTAAACAACTCTATACATTATGACTCCCAATCAATTTCTGATAACAATATATTTATTTATTTACTTACTTACTTACTCAGTCAGTTTGTTTCTGATACAAGATCCCATGTAGCCCATGGTAATCTCAAGCTAGCTGTGTAGCTAAGGCTTGCTTTAAACTACTGATCCTCATGCCTCTACCTCCAAATACTAGAATCACAGGCTTTTCACCCTAGCTCAGTGGTACATTTTTCTTTTAGAAGATAAATTTATAATGTAGTAGAATTGGCTATCCACACGATGCCAGTCAACACTGATCCCAGAAGTTGCTGTGTCCAGCACTGACCACCACCCCTGCTGCAAACCTGTGGCATCATGACTGCTGCCCAGCTTCCAACCTCTCCCTTCTCTCTCTCTAGCTCTTCCCAGCACCTTTTCTATCTGGGGCATGTTATTCCAGAGTCCTTGACAAGGAGCCTGTCTCTCCTTTCCTCCCTTACTCATTCATCTCTTTTCTCCTGTGCCACAAATATTTCTATCACACATCCGTGTCCTACACACTTGAGGGAAAGCACAACTCTCTGGAAGTGCCCTGGGTTGTGCAGGCACTGCAGCCTTGAGAACACTGGGTTTACTGCTACCTGCCTACCTCTGAGCTGAGTGTGACATGGGAACATAAAAGTGATTGTTGAATTTTCCTTTGTTAAATTAAAAATAAAATTCTGGCTTATAAAGACTTGTGACAAACTAAAAGTGGGACTGGAAGGGCCATTCTTAGTTCTATAGTTTCAGCAATTGCTTACCATGTTGTAAGTAAAACAGTAACACTACAGTTTGCATCTGGAATGACCCCATCCTCCCACTGGCCCATGTGTCACTTGGTCCTTGCTTGGCACTTCTGGGAAGTGGCATAAATTTTAAGAGGTCATGGAAAAGTGTGCCCTCAAAGAAGACTGTAGGACTCTGATCTCTTGCTCTTTCTTTTTCTCACTCATCCATTAGATAAACCAGTCCAAAGCAACAAGACCAAGTGACCCTGAACTAGAACCTCTGAAACAGACAAAACACAGCTCTGTATTCAAGCTGATGCCTGTAAGCATGTGTTAGAGCAATGGGAAGATGATTCATAAGAACAAAGATGACTTCAGCTTCAAAATATGTAACACACACTGACCTGCCGAAACACTTCATTCACAAAATTCACATAACCCCGTGTTGACAGGAGGATCCGTTGCACCATTTCATACACGGTCCGATGCTCCTCTTCAATGCTACAAAGACTGGAGTTGCTGAGTCTCCGGTCAGACAAGGTGCTACTGTTAGAATGGCTTTTGTCCTGCTCTGTGGACCCAGCACCATCCAGCTCTGGCACTTTTTCTTGTATTGCACCGCCACCAACAGTCTGGAAAATGCCATCACACAGCTCAGCAATCAGCATTCCCACTCACCAGCACCTACCAGAGCGTGAATCTTGTCTTGCTTATCGCCTTTTGGGTTCTGTGAACGTTGCAGTACTAGAGAAAGAGCCCACAATTTCATATATGTGAGACTGTACTCTGCCACTGATCCATACTCTCAGACCCAGGTTTTGCCTTATTTCCAAGTAATCTAATTACCACCAACCGGGTAGTACCAATCGCACAGGGTATTACACAAATGTAAGCATCAGCAACTGCCTCCAGCACGAAGCCCTGAACCCCTACTTAACAATTTTCTAATTAACCAATAATCTTTTCTCAACTCAGTGACTTTAGTAGGAAAACTACCAAGTTATTTCAGTGAAGAGGACTGTGAAGTCTTACCAGCTAAAAAGTTTAATTTGCACATGTGGAATCACAGAATAAGTTAATGTGTTAATGAAATGTGTGCCATCATCACACCAGGGCTCTATACGTGTGGAAACTTGAGAAGGCTTACAACAAAAGCATGGAGAATCACCAGACCCAGGCTAACAGTTAACATTTTCTATCTCTTAAAGCAATATTCTTGGGGCACCCAGTGTCCATATAAGAAATCCATTGACCTCACTAGTGAGACAGCACAGACTAGTTGCAGATGGGCAGTCTTCTCTCCAACTAGCAGGAACAGGCATGTGGATGAAATGGATGGATAGACCAACCATCCATCAGCTAAGATCACCACCCAAGGGCCCATGAAATACACTTGAAGTATCAAACCAGATTCTGTCCCACTAAATAAAATTAAAAAATAAGGTTAGAGGGTTTCCACTTTAAGACACTAAGTTTTGAGGTGGTTTATATTACAGCAGTGAAATAAATAAAATAGCGTTAAGAATTATGTAGGATCAAGTCATTTAAGCATAAGCTCCAGACCTAAGTGGATGAAGTACATCCTCGGTGGATGAAGTACTTGCCAACTACTAGGAACTGGCTCCAAGAGGAGGTCCATCTCCATGTACTAGAATCAAGCTAAAATTTTGCTACTGTTGACATGAGTCCATCCTCACAGTCAATGCACAGACGACTTTTAGTCCTCTGGCACACGAAGAAGCCTTATCAATGAAAATGGCACTCTGTCAGGACCAGACCAGCACTGCCAGAGCTCAGAAAAACACAACTGTCCCTTATTCTATACCTCAATTTCCGCCACCCTGCTATCCTCTCAAACCCCAGAGCTCATAGTGAGAAACACTCATTCTCAAGTTGGTGATATCTGAGTGTGATGCCACTTAGCTCCTCTATCTTGATCTGTCAACCTGGTGAGCACATCCTATCATGCTGGTGTGAAGTTCAAGAACAACAGAGACTACTACAGCAGGAGTCAGCAGAAAAACATACGCAATTCTGCAGAGTTATCATTGCTCTACCCAGTCACCCCATGTGCCTAATGGACCACTGAAAAACTGTCTTGGATTAAGTAAAAGTGAAATTTTATTACTATAACTAAAGAGTTATACAAATAAATATGCTGAGCTGCCTTGCTGTGTCAATATTTTTCAACCCATGATGAATAAAACCAAATGAATAGGACTAAATGACCATGGACTAAAACCTCTAAAAGCATGAGCTAAAAATAAATATTTTATTTGACTATTTCAGGTATTTTTGCCATGTAACAAAAAGCTAACTAACATGTGCCTAAACAAGAGAATCTGTTAGGCTCAGATTTACCTAGTACTAGGGCAGATAAGTCTACAAGGCAAGTTATTAACTGTTTTTCTCCTTGCCAAAAGTACTAGGTTTAGACCAAGAAAAGGACATGATTTCACTTGGAGAACAGAAAACCAATAATAATTCATATACAGCAAAAGTACTTTGTAGCAAACATGTGAATTCTTTTGTAAAACAGAAATTTAAAATATTTTAAAGTGCTTTACAAAACTAGTGTATTGTTTGAAAACAGTTTTAGTAACCTTAATAAGGACAGTAAATTTTTTTTGTCATTTTGTTTGGTGGCTGTGTTTGTTTTTGAGACAGGGTCTCTCTACATAGCCCAGCTGTCCTGGAACTTGCTTTGTAGAGCAGGCTGGTCTCAAACTCACAGAGACTCAACTACCTCAACCTCTGGAGGACTAGAATTAAAGATGTGCACCCCCCACTCAGCTCATTCACTTCAGATGTATGAAAGAACATCATAACATAAATATGAATAAAAACTTTGAAAAAACATAATCATTACCATTTTCACTTTATCCTTTAACTTTCAAAGTATAAAATGCAGTTTTTGTTTTGAAATATCTTTCAGCAAGCCCTTTGTTGTTCATATTGTTTCCTATCCCCGAGGTTCTTTTGAAAACAGGTTTGCCCTCTGGGTCTCCAGTAAGTTCTCTACAATGGACCCACCGGCTCTGAACTGCTTGATGTGCCTCCTTGCACCAAGGTACCAATGACTTGAAGTGCAGCAGCTACTGATCTGCCTCCTCCTCCAGCTTATACATTCTCCCAGCTTGGAGCAATGTCCTATTTCTGGAACCTCCGTGACAAAGGAAAACCTGCAGTAAGTGCACTACACTTGCTTGCCCTGTTCTTGGGGACAAGAGACAACAATAGTCAACCCCCATGAAGTGATGGAACTGATCTCTAAGCTCTGAAAACAGTCCTGCTCCAAGACATACACACACTGAAGGCCCTCCTACCTAGCAAGACTTTTCTGAAGGCCTCAGGCAAAGGTGGCCTTGTCTCTAGGAAAAGCATCATAATAAGGCAACTACCCCCCCGATGCTGAACTGCCAGTCAATGCCCTCTCCTGAGATGCCAGAGGATACATGACAGCATGAGCTGTCTCCATAGGCCACCTGAGGGCCTTCCAGATACTGGTGATGGGTCAGAGAAGGACAAGACCCTGTGCCTGTGCTCAGAAGACACAACATTTAAACAAAGGAAAAAGAAGGGAGGCAAAGTACCCGCAGAGCTGTACTTTCAGAGCTTTCCTTGCCCCTGAGGCTGCCTTCTTAGAGCAATTCCAATACTGTAGAGCAAGTGCTTCTGATCAAAGATTCCTCTGAAACCTGAGGCCTGCAAACAGGTGAGCCAGTAAACCAAAACCTATAAGACCCACAGCTCTAATCATCAGTTACTTTGCTAATGTACTAGTTTACTATGCAGGAAAAAGAGTTTAACATGATGGTTGCCATACCTGGATGATTTTAGGCAATACATCAACCCCATTTTTAGTGTTTTGTGTTGCAGTTAGATACTTCTTTTCCAGAAAGAAAGTTACAATCCATTTAATGAAAACAACACGAGCTGCCATGTATGGAATTTTTGTACTGTAAACTGTTTCATTATCTCGAGTCACAGAAACATATACTGGCTTTGGTCTCAAGTGGGGGATTTCTGATAGAAAGAAAAAGGAAACACAGTTAAGTTAGTGAATCTTAACATTACATAATCCCTATGACCAGTTCCAATTAATAAACATATATTTGGTTGTTTGGATAGCAACTAAGAGTGATGACCCATAAATGTTTAAAAATAGCATATTCTGGCAGGCTTGGTTCTGATTTTGCCTTCAATATAAATAAAAGGGAGTGGCTATGATTGCTCACATACTGCAACACTCCACAGCCACACTAGTTGGTCTTGTTAACAATTCTGAAAGCTATACAATACAGCAGTGACTATATCTTCAGTGTTAGTATACCTAATTTAATGTTATTTTATGGCTGGAAAAAATGTGAAAGCATACATGAACTTCAACAAAAACAAAAAAATCTAAAGCTGGACATGGTGGTACAAGTCTGTAATCCCTACACTCAGGAGGTCAAGACTTTCCATCTAAATGAATTCAGAAACTCACATTTCATCACTTTTTCTTATCAAGTTTCATCAAGTATGAATACTGTGTGGCTGGATCTGAGATCTGCTCTGCGTCCCACCCTGGATCTTAACTACTTCCTATATTCCTGCAGTACCTTGGTGAGGCAAAAACATTGACAATACATAACTTTGTTGTTGTTTATTTTTTATTATAGAATCTCTACATGTAGCCAAGGCTGGCTTCTAACTTACAGTTTTCCTGTCTCAAGTTTCCAAGCCCCAAGACTGCAGTTATGGGCCATGATGACCAGTTTCAATACATAACTTTCAACCTAGCAACATCAGCAATGTATGGTGTTTTACAATGAACACATACAACACACACACACACACACACACATATAAACACATATATATACACATATAAAACAACAAAAAATATCTATATAACAAAATATAGGTCTCAATACCCACTAAAAGTCAAGTACTCTACAACTTTTTACATTCACCAGGCTTTAGCTATTTTTCTGTCTCATGTGTCTGTATGTCTTTGAGTCTGTGTGTGTGTGCACGTGCACACAGGCGTGAATCAATTGGGCATGTCCTGCAGTCCCTTGCAGCCTGTTCTCCTCCACAGCTATTCTTAATTATCCATCTAATTTCATCTGTTTTTATAGGGAGAAGATTTATATTTCCGCTACTTTAAGAAATGATTCCATCCTGTGAATCCTAATTTATTATAAAAGGAAACTTTAGGAGCTAAGTTAATGCTCCTTTCTGTTTCTCAGCTTTCTGGGGACCTCCTATCCTTTAACTGTCCCATCACTCAGCCATCTCCCTCCAGAAGCACCTGTCAGTATCCTGGGAGATAAAAGTCCTAACAAAAGTGTATCCCTCCAGCAGCTGTGAGACCCGGGCTGGCCTACCTAGCCATAGCACAGGGCACGGCATCACTATAACTCATCACCCATAAGATAAGACTAAGAAATGCAAAACGTGACATTAAAAGGTAGCAAACATATTAAAAAAAAAAAAAACATGACATAGCTTAAATTATGTTTATAGAAACCATGGTTCTCTTTATTTCTATGATGTAAAGCCTCTTAGAGAGTTCACATAATTGAATCGTTCATTAGGTAACTTTAACTCCTCACAAGAGCATTACCATTCACTATGAACATATGTAACTACTCTGCTTTAAAACAGTCACAAGGATTACTATGAAAGCTACTGTGCAGCTTCCCTGTGGATGACACCCACATAAGAACCATCCACTACTTACCAAGTACAGGTTTGTAGATGTTGGTTAACTTAGTAAATGATGGAAACAAATGAGGAAGATAATACTTTCGAAACAATGTAAAAAGAAATTTAAAACCAGTATCTTGATTCTCCTTATTCTTCCACTCCAAGCTTGCAGCCTTTAGATAATATGTAGGAAAGAACATTTGCATATTTACAGTTTAAATTAACATATACAAACATGAAATGATGTTAGATTGAAATTCTTTTGTAAGTTTTCAATTGATAATAATAACTAAATCATATCTCAACAAAGCTCAAAAGAAGGTAAGAATTCCAGGTATTGTAAACCTGGGCAAGAACCTATGACTGGGTGCCATAGGCCCTAAGGCAGACCTTACTTATTTTGCTGAAGGGACACACTATCAAACTGCCTTCTAAGTATTCTTGCTGGAAGCTTCTTCAGCGGTGGATGGTGGTTATTTTAGACTTACAAGTGTTCACAGTGCAGAGACTAAGTGACTGCAGAATGCTCAGCCCCAAAGAATCCCTGTATCAACTCTTTCCACATAGCTCAGGGGACATCTTGGAAGAGGGAGTCGAGAATTCTAAATGTCAGAGGTTAGGAAGGACAACAGCAAAATAGTTGCCTCCTAGACATGGCAGGGCCTGTCACAGAAGCCTGCACAAGGTCAAGCCAGCCAATACTCTGAAACGGACAGAGGAGGAGCTTTTGGCAGGTGACAGCTGCTGGGTGAAGGAGAACCAGTTTTCTTCAGCAGTGTGGTCCATGGTAGGCTGCCCAAGATCCAGTAGGTGGTCCTACACCCATGCACATCTAGGCAGCTCTAACTGTACTCAGTGGATTATTTAAAAGAGGAGGAACTCGGTGAGGTGGCATACTCAGGAAGCAGAGAAAGGCGAGTTCACGGCCAACCTGGTCAACATAACAAGTTCCAGGCCAGCCAAGCTGCACAGTGAGACTCTGACTCCAAAAAAAAAAAAAGTTGTAAGGAAAATGGAAGAGGGGGAGATTCAGGAAGAGGTGTGAAAATGATCTAAATATAGTGCATTTGTGTATGAAATCACCAAAGGATGTGTGTTTTTCTTCTTCTTTTTCTTTTTTTATTAAAGTACTCACACCAAGTCTTGCTGAAGTGTCCCAGCAACAATGCATGCCTTGTGTTTAAAATTGCCTCAGGGCAAGAAATAAAGACACAGAAAGAAAAAAAGGTAGTAACTCTCCTTCCTATGAAAATAAGCCCATCAGTGAAACAGCCATGAATTTCCTCTGACCTGAATAACCATATATTTCAACAGTATTTGAAGAAAAAAGCAGGTTTGGTCCTCAGCAATCTTCTCCCCTGATATGGCTGGCAGAAGTGGGGTGATTTCTTCTGGGTATATTTTTGCTGAAAGGTAGAAAATAATGAGTGCTTATTCACCAAAGTTAAATTTTAAATAAGGGTTTTAAAATGGTCTCTATGCAACACATCTATTCAGCTACTGGACCGTCTCATATGAACCCCAGACCATTATGTCCGAGGGCTTCAAGGCAGCACAGACGTCCACACTGCCTTCTCTCCCTCTGGACCATTCTTTCCCATTCACAATCTGTCTTAGTCAGCCTAAAATCCAATGCAATGAAGTATTATACAGTAAGTCAACACTCACAGGGCACCAAGAGTCCAATGATGCCACATAAAGTCTTTCTAGAAATGCTACATGGAAAACCACAGCTAGCAAAGTGTTGGGGATTGTTCTGACCTAGCCCTCAATTTCTGGTTAAACTTATCCTCGCTGAGTAAACCTGCCTAAGTCATTAATATCTGACTTGTTGGTTAAACAGCCTATACCTGGGCAGGGCAGAATGGGGTAGGTGTGGCTAAGGTTGCCGGGCTTGGGGCACAAAAGAATCTTTTGGGGTGCAAGAGAATCAAGGGAAATAGCCAAACAGGAGGAAAGGAAGAAAGAGGATACCACAATGGGTTAGTATGGAGAAGAAACCATGTGGGCTGGGAGGAAGGACTCCAATAATAGTGTGAAAAGGCCCAGATGAAGAATACAAGCAATTATCATGTGATTATGGATGAAAGGTAGTCCAGACAGAAATGATTAAGGTGGATGGCACTGGATGGGTGCTGGGAGATGGACGGTAAGGTTATTGAGACAACGTAAGTGAAATATCTACCCAGCCCAAGTTAAATAAGGCAATTAAAAAATCTAACAGGTGGGTTATTATTATTTGTGATAGTGGGTTAGATAACACGTCTGTGATAATCTTAGGGCTAATAATAAACTTTATATAGCCCAACACTCATCTTTTCATTACAACAGCAAAGTAAAATGAATGGCCTCTTAAAGGAACAATAGTGATGAGAATGATAGACAGTGGTTTGGGAAGACTGGTTTACATTTCATTAGCTGACACAAAATATACTTGCTATTTCACACTGTAGCCAACATCTGCACCCTGCATTCCATTTCTGTTTCTGTCACATCAGAAATTTTCTTAATATAATTTAAAAGAAAGTAGACTCCAGCTTTTCTCTTCTGGTTTTTTGTTTGTTTGTTTGTTTGTTTGTTTTTAAGAGAGTTTTCCATATAGTCCAGGCTAGCCTCCTTTGTTTTTAAGACAGAATCTCCCAACTAGCCCAGGCTGGTCTCAAGCCTATTAGGTAATGGTGGCTGACCTTAAAATCCTGATACTCCTACCTCCACTCCCCAAGAGCTCTGATCACAGGTTTATGTCACCACTCAGTGCACCCCAGGTTTTTCATTCTTTTTTCATGGTACTCTGAGTTGAGCCCATGGCCAAGATTATGCCTTTAGGAATCCTCTGTGAGCCACAAGGAATCATTTCTCTTCAGGCTTCCTTAGAATTTCTATTCAAGAACATCAACACCAAGAAAACCCTCAAGATAACTTCAAGAGCAATTTCAGGGATTCGAGAGAAGGCTCAGAAGTTAACAGCACTTGGTTTGCTGCTCTCCCAGAAGACCCAGGTTTGCCTCCCAGCAGCCAGGTCAGGTGGCTCACAACTCCAACTGGGGGATCTGGTGTTCTCTTCTGGCTTCCTCAGGTACCCATACACATGAGACATATACTTACAGACACAGACACACACATAAACTAAAATTAAAATAGTCATTTCAACATGTCACGCTTGCTAATGCTGCTTACCATCAACTATACTAGGGCTGGGGTTGATGAGTGTCTCCAGTGTGCAGGGACCCCTGGATGACAAGACAGCTGGGAAACCAGGCACCAGGCAAGCGAAAATCAGCACCTGCTCTTCCGCACAGTTTGTCTGAAGTGCTTGAAGCCACAAAAGAAACAGTCTGATTCCTTCACATCTTATCTAAAAACAAAATTAAAAGCAACAAAAGTCAAACATTTAACACATATTTGTGGAAATGCTCTGTAATGTAGCATCAATCTTAAGAAAACAGAGAGAGGGAGAGAGACAGAGAGAAACACAGGTATGGTGGTATAACACCTGTAATCGCAGCACATGGAAGTCTGAGAAAGGAAAATCTCAAGTTTCAGGACAGCCTGAGCTTCAAAGCAAGAGATAGAGATAGAGATAGAGAGAGAGAGAGAGAGAGAGAGAGAGAGAGAGAGAGACAGAGAGACAGAGAGACAGAGAGACAGAGAGAGGAGAAAGGGAGGGGAGAGAAGGAGAGAGATAAAAGTATCATTGAAGTCCACAGGGCCTTCCCTCAGTGACAGGCAAGGATGCAATACACCACAAAGATGAGAGCGTGGACACTGGAGTAGGGGGCCTGTGTTCGAATTCATCCCCTACTACTTTCTAGCTGTGATGCATGGAGAATCATCTGACTTCTCCATGTCCTAGTTGCCCCATCTGCAAAATGGCAGGATTGAGTGAGGTGAAGTCTTCTGCTTTATGCAGAAGACTCATAAAGCAGTGGCTGGCTCCCACCCAGCTATTAATAGTATTTCATTCTGTAATACTATTCTACAACAGTCTCCCTGTCATCAATGCCCAACTGTCCACGGGAGCAACAGCAGAGATGTTCTCCTTCCACATTTATACTATGAGAGAACAGAGCAGAATTTCAGCCATGTTAGTATATGTTCTTTGGCACTAAATGAGACTCGGAAGAACTGGCTGAGTGACAAGGGGCTGCTTTCCAGCCTTCTTGCCTCCTGTCTACACTCAGTAGCTTCCCACACCTTCACCAAGATCTGAATGGTGAGCAGTACCCCACAGAAAATGAACAAACATGCCCCTTTCTGACTCTACACTTGTTTCCATCGCTACCCTATTCTTAGAATTCAAAAACACACATTGTTCCATTTCTGTATTCCTAAATGATTAGAACGATTTAAATAAAAGAAGATACACAAGTAAATGAGAATGAAAAACATGTTTATCAGATGTGAATGAAACATGCTAGAGGAGTTTCCATGGCCTTTAATCACAGCCATCCATAACTCAAGTTCCAGAGGATCCAACGCCCTCTTCTGACCTCTGCTGGCACCAGGCACACCTGTGGTGCATATACATTCATGCTAGCAAAACACTCATACACACACAATAAAATAAATAAATCTAAAAAAAAAAAAATGTAAGGAAACATTCCATTTTACTTTCATCAAAAAGGGTTACCTTAATAGAATTTCCAGTGTGTAGAAGCTTCTTTAGAGTTGAGCCTGGAAGTTTAAACAATTGATTAGAAATAGAATATACAAATAAATATTTAAATTACATGAGGTAATATTTAATACCTATATTCACTTTATTCTATTTTTGTATGTATGTGTGTAGATGTGACATATGTATGCATGCATGTGCATATATGTGTGTGCATTGTTAATGCAGTTTCCCAGAACTGGCCCGAGGTGGATCCCTGGAACTGGAGTTACAGCAAGTTGTAAACCATCCAACCTGTGGGTGAATGATACCAAACCTGGGTCCTCTGTAAGAGCAACAAGGGTTCTTAACAGAAAATATATATTTAAAGAACAGTTTTGTAACCTTCAAAGGCAAACAACATCACAATAGACAAGTTCTGGGTTTGTTTTGTTGGTTGGTTGGTTAATAAACATTTGGTACATATATACATTGGAATATCATTTAGTTTTAAAGAAAAAAATTAAATCTATAAATTAATGAGTGGAACTGGAAAAAATTAGAGTGAGTCACCCAGGCCCAGAAAGACAAAAACCTCAGAAATGAGAGGTCCTGAAGGGTCCCAAACAATACAAGTGTTTGCCGTTCTTCTTGGTTGTCCACCAGAACTAGATAAGACCCCCTTATTAGTGAAGATATCAGACAGCTAGGGTGCAAGAGAGAGAAATCAAGCTGGAACTGAGCTGGGAACTTATTCTTGCTTGTGTAGCTTTCAGAGTGCCACCTATTCATAAGAGTGCCGAGACTACAGGCATTCAAGGTGTGGGAAGCCAGGGCTAGTTTTATGTCAGCTTGACACAAGCTATCATCAGGAACCTCAATTGAGAAATGACTCCATAACCTCAGGCTTAGCCAAGCCCATATGGGATTTTCTTAACGGGTGACTTATGTGAGAGGGCCTAGCCCATAGCAGGAATTAACACCCTGGACTGGTGGGCCCTGGGTTCTATAAGAAAAAAAGGCTAAGCAAGCCATAAAGACCAAGCCAGTAAGCATCAGCTCCTACCACGGCTTCCCGCAGTGGCTTGTGATTCAGGATATGTAAACCAAATAAACCCTTTCCACTGCAAGTTACTTTTGGTGTTTCATTACAGCAATAGTAACCCTAGCCAAGGCAGATGACAAACAAAAAACAACAGTGTACATGATTCTTCTAAATAAAACTACAAAATGCAAAGGTAGACTAGTTTCTTTTGATTTGGAGAAACCCTGTTGCAGGATATTTGATTTTTGTACATAGAAAACCTATTTGTTAGCAAAATAGAACTTAAAAATATGTAAGCAAAATATAGCTTACATGGATGTCAGGTGCATTGGGTGTGTCCTGAAGAGATGCAGCTTGGGTGTGCCTCTGAAAGCCTCCATAGAGAAGAATGCTGAAGAATGGAAAGTTACTGCCTAGTTTAAGGTAGGTTGCTTAGAGAGGTCTCATGGTCTTTACTCTATGGCCTGAGGCAAAGTCAGCTGGGTGCCCTTGGGATGCTTCACCATCAGGTGAAATGGTTCAGCCCTAATGATTTGACTTGAAGCCCCCCACCACCACCACCACCACATGGTTCAGCCTGCCCAAAGTATAGAGGAGGAGCTGGGGACTTCTACTGCCATTGAGCAATTGAGAGCTCTCTTTTTTGGGCTTGAAAGAACCTTCATAGTAAAAACTCCAGGTAAGAGAGAAGTGCTCTCTTTGGGCTTGCAGGAACAATAGAGAAGCAGCTGGCAGGACACAGGTGAGTGCTCAGGAGCTCTCATGGATTTGAAGAAGCTCAGGAGAAAGGCAAACTGGCTAGGTGTAAGGACACAGAAAGATTTCTAAAGAGCTAGCCGTTTAGGTGTAGAATCAGGCTTGTAAATATATATTTTGTATATAGTTAAGAAAATAGTTACCTAGCTGAGCCCGCAGGTTTTTACCTCAGTTTACGCCTCTTGTGTCTTTATTGGTACAAATATTAGAATAATTATTAAAGATAAATATTATAAAATCCAACTTATCAATTTTTTTCTTTTATGGATTTAACTTTCAGTATCATATCTAGTGAATCTTGAGAAAATATATTAGTGATTGAGCTTGGAGTAAGGAAGAAAGGAAGCAAAGGATTACTAAGGAAAATGAAAAAAATTTTAGGGTAATGATAATATTTTATATATATTCTGTTTATTCCACCCCCACTAAGGCTGTTTTTTCAAATAAAAAAAAATAAAAAACCAGAACAGGTGGCCTAGAAGTGCCCATGTAAGAGACTAGAAGGATGGAGGTTTGTGAGTAGACAGCTATCCATATAATAACAAAGACCAGGAAGCCACATGAAGATGGAGAAGAGAAATAATGAGCTTCTGAGTAACAAAAAGGACCAGGAGAAAACATGGCCATGAAAAAAGGGAGATGAGACAACAAGGCAAAAAGCTGGCACAGTCCAAGGAGAGGGGTGCTGAGTCGTTTCTGTAATTAGCACTAAATAAAGGCCATGATCTTATCTCCATATTCCTGAGGGACACGTTCCTGAGGAAAGTAGACTTAGTAAAGACATATAAAATACATAACCAAATACTGCATAGTGATGAAGGTTTTTTCCCCCTGAGTCCTATCTCTCTAAGTTGAAAGACTGCTCATGTTTAACACTTTTGCTATAAAACATATCCAAGCACAGGTTTTCATCCATTAAACAAGCACAACTGCACTATGAACCAGGTAGGAAACCTGCTTTGTGAATGCTTGTGCACAGGAACCCCTTTCAGAGAAGACACTCATGGAACCTTAGTCCTGTGCTGATGTCACATGGGCACACAAGGAAGCTGTACAGCCTGTTCCCACCTCATCACCAGTTTTCACACCACTCTCTGCCAGCTCTCATTTACTGTCAAACAGCTGCTTTAGCCCACTGTAATTTACAAGCATAAACCCGACTGCAAGAAAAGCTTCAACACTTTTGCATTCATAATCAGCCACAGAACTCTCCAAAGAGTTCAGTCACAGATTAGCATCACTTAGCTCCTCTATAAACCTGGGACAATGGACCCATGTTTACTTAATACTGCAAAACACAGACTTGAAATATGTTTTCTACTTCACTAATTTACAGCAAAAAGCTGGCCTTAAATTGTATTTACTTATATTTGTGTATATGTGCGTGTGTGTGTGTGTGTGTGTGTGTGTGTGTGTGTGTGTGTGGAGGGAGGTAGGTAGGTAGGTCAGAGAACAACTTTTTAGTTTTCTCTTTGTTGAGGTTAAAATCAGATCATCTGACTTGGTGGCAAGCACCTTTACGAGCTGAGCCATCTCACTGCCCTTCCAATAGAAAATAATTAAAAAGTAAAACCCAAACAAGGACAAATTGCAAACTATTGCTTCCCTTTAAAAGCTGTTTAAAGAGACACAGAATATCTCTGGTTGCTACAGACAAACAAAATGACAGGGCAAGAAACAGGCAGCATGACGGCAACTGATGTTTCATACTTCCTTCCTCCTCCTCCTGATAAAATGTGGGTACTCAGGTAGACTGGAGAGCTGGGGGTGGAAGTTGCTTTCACTTTAGGTTGGCTGTGCGGTGAGTTGTCAGTTCTAGCACAAGACAGTATGCTGCCCTGGATTACAACACCAGGTTCTATCTAGTCCCATTCTGTACAGCAGCAGATACTTTGCTGGCAAGGGTGCTAGACACTGACTGTCAAGAAGCGAGGTACAGCTGGGAGACACAGCACTCACATGTTATGTGTCATGCGTGGTCACAGCATACTACACTCCTCAGGGGAGACCTGTGGTCTTACTTACAGTTTCAGCTTCTAGTGTTAACTCAGTCCAGACCTCAAGTGACAAAAAACTGATTAACAAACTCAAGTAAACTAGAAAGGATGACAGAGGCAGAAGACACACAAAATAAATGTGTACAATGACAAATACACAACCTCTTAACAACAGTCCTGAAATCTAAAAGGCTGTGAAAAGTGAACCCTTCCTCTGTGGAGCAATAGTGAACAGCCTCCACGTGGACACTGTGGGCCACAACTGACAAGGTTACTTGGGACTTGGTTACTCCACAGTCAGTAAGCATTCAGGTTTTAAACTCCAAAACTAATAGCTAGCTCACTTTGTTCGGCTCCTGTCTAGCTCTCCAGGGGAGTTACAAAGACACTAAGCCCTGTGGATGTTCGCAGCTATTTAGATTGTACGTCACTACACACACTGACGATCTACACTTCAAAATAAGGGGCCAGAAAAGAGGGCTTAGCAGGTAAGGGTGCTTACTGCTCTCGTGAACACTGGTCTGTTTACAACCATCTATAACTCCAGTTTCAGGGGATCTGAATCCTTCTGGCGTTCATGTGCACAGACACACACAGCTTAAAAAAAATAAATCTTTACAACTAAAAACAAGTCTGCTTCCGAAGTATAGCTAGCCTAAAGATCAAAGGAGGGGATATGCGGGTGTCACACATGCCATCAGTGCCCACTAGATTAATACTGCAAAAATCTCTTTAAAAACTCCACTTGCCTCAAGCATTAAGCATCAACGATAAGAATGACTTTATATGCAAATGATCATACTTCCAACGATTACGCTACTCGGCATAGACAGCTTTGCATGTCCCATATAAATAAGACTGTAAAATGACTACAACAGCTCAGAAAAGTAGGACTTTGTGATCCCAGCTTAGGAAGTCTGAGGCCTTTGCTCATTCTTGATCAGATGTACACTGGGTAAAGAATAAATAGTGTCAGCAATTTCAACTCATTTTCATGACATTAGACAAAATTAAAGAAAATACTATATACTGCCCAGAGGATTTGCAAAGTTTCACAGCACAATGGAAATTAATCTTCAGAGTTTTAGGATATTTTATTCACACTGAGGTGAGCCCACTAATCTTCAGACAGTCTGAAGTGCTATCTGAGAAAAACGAGTGTGATCTTCATATAAATGTTGTAAACCAAATTAGAGACGACTCTACCTAAATGGTCAAGAATGTTGCACAATTGCATCGCAGAACCTCAAATCCCCGGGGCGCCTCTTTAGCTGATACTTTACAGTTTTAAATTTTTTACCTTACTTTAAATATATAATTCCAAAGTTCAATTAAACAGAAATGCTGGAGCAAACTTGCTCAGATTTAAAGAAAAACTCTCCTCACTTATTTGAAAGATTTAAAGAGTAAGACACTCTTTCAGAATAATGACTGAGTTCCATGGGTGTATACAAATATATACCGTACCTTCTTTAAATTTAAATTTGTAGCGCATAACTCAAATTCAGTTTCTGTAGAAGTTTATTACCTGTTTTCACAGAAGCAATCCTAAATTAAATTTAGAACTCTGAATTTTTTAGTATCTACTGATCTCCATTTTTCTCCCAGGTTCTTTGACTTTGTACACGTTGCTCTCCCAAACAGGAAGACCTGTTCTCCCAAAGGCTCAGGTGGAAGCAACTTCTCTTTAAGGGCCCTCAACTCTCCTGGGAAAAACTATTCTTTCTTTTCCTGGGAAGAGCTATTCAGTCTTTCTTTTCCTGTCCCACTATATTCCCCTCACAGCAACAATTACACTGCAATTACTTTTCTCATCTATCTACACAAGGAGCAAGAGGCCCAGCCAAAGGAAAATGGTGATGTGCTCTTTGTTCCTGTCCCCAAAGGTTTGTCTCTCCCTCAATAAACATCGGAATGCATGAATTATCAAATAAAGTAAGACTCTTTTCCAAAGTCCACACTTTCCTCCAATGTAGCCAGCTGATATGGAAGAAAAACTGAATCCCATGGCAGACTCTCACAGGTAAAAGGACTGAAGCAGGAACCTTTAAAACACATGCAGAATTGACAATGGATACTCGAGAATGTTCCAGCTAGCCTGGGCATTTTAAACTGCAGCTGCTGTCAGACATAAGGACCTAGGCAGGAGGGACAGCACTGATACTTGCTTTATTTCAAGTTCCCACTGGCTGCCACATCTTAAAGTATTCAAATGACGGAATTCTGAATCAACAATGCAGGCTTGGGGAACAACTGTTTTGGGAAAGGAATAATGTAAATTATTAAGAAAATACTCTAGATCAGTGCTTCTCTACTTGATGTACACAGGAATACGTTTGTATCTCGTTAAGAGACCACAGTGTTCAGAAGGCCAAACGGGGCTGAAACTGTGCATCTTCAACATGCTCCTGGGGCGGCCACACACTACCGCTCAAAGGGCACATTCAGAATAAGAGATTTAACTTTTAAAAATTTATTTTATTGAGAATTTAATACATCTATACAATCTCTTTTGATCATATCAATTTCCCACTTCCTGCTCCTTGTTATACACTATAGCCCCTCCCAACGTTATGTCCTCTGGGTTTTCTTTTTTGTTTTTTGTTTTTGTTTGTTTGTTTGTTGTTTTAACCCTTCCTCCATCCATCCTAGAATGTTAACAGGCTTGATCTTGTAGGGGTCTTGTGCAAGCAACTGCAGCCACTGTGAGTTCATGAGTACAGTAATAGCCTTCCCCAACTTCTGTCTCTTAGATTCCTTCCATACCCTTTTCTAAGAAATCTCCTGAGCCTTTGGTGTAGGAAGTATGACAGAGATGACCCACTTAGGGCTGAGCACTCCACAGTTACTTATTCTCTGCACTTTAATCAGTTGTGGGGAGAGGTACTTTCCCACACAGTCCAAGTTGGGTTTGATTTTAATCCCCATGCCTTTATTTCTATCCATAAAGCATTGCTGAAACCACAACTGGTAGATATCCAGATCACTAATACATTGTTTGCTTTCATCTTACCTATACTCTGGTAATGCCATCGAAAGAAAATTCGTTCAGGTAGAAACTGCAGTATTTTCTACAAAATAAAAAAAGATAAAAAGAAACTAAACAACAAATGCAATACATTTTTGTGACAGGCCCATATTATTCACCTCTTTCCAACACACAAGTAAATAAATATTAATCAGAGGATTACAAGCAGGTCTTAAGATTGTACTTATGAAGCCAGGCATGGTGGTGCACGCCCAGTGCTCGGGAGGCAGAGGAAGGCGGATCTCTATGAGTCTGAGGCTAGCCTGGTCTATAAAACGAGTTCCAGGACAGCAAAGGCAGTTATACGAAGAAACCCTGTCTCAAAAAAAAAAAAAAAACAAAAAACAAAAAACAAACAAACAAGGAAACAAAGAAGAATTACACTTATGGAAGCACCCATTGGTGGGTAAAGGACAAATTTCTGAAGCATAAGAGGACTGGGCTAATAAAGGTTGCCCTCACTACCAAAGGCTGGCTGCTGGGGGATGGACAGTCAGCTTCTCCAGGAACATGCCCTGAAGACTCCTGATGCTCCAAAAGATGGTCCTACACCCATGCACCTACAAGAAGCACTAAATAATTTGTGGATTTAAAAACATAAAGTTGGGAGGGAAGAAGTGTGTGGGAGGGGAGAAAAAAGGAACTATAGGGGAGTTTGAAACGGAGTAGATTTGATCAAAATGCATCATAATCATGCATGAATTCTCAAATAATTTTTAAAAAATTTTATTATGCTTTCAAAAAAATTCAGAAGACTGATGCGAATGAGCTCCCCCTACTCTAGAACATATTCTGATAAATTATGCTTAGATTATAAGATTATTTTATTTTGAATATAACTACTTAAAATATTCATTGCATTTTTATTTTTTATGGGGGAGTATCAAAGGACAACTTGTGGGAGTCAGTTTTCTCTTTAAATAAGTGGGTAACTGGGACTGAAGAGATGTCCAGCTAGCAGCAAATACCTTTACCCACTAAGCCATTTCACTGGCCCAGCAACTACCTGTTTTTAAAACGTAAAAAAAGAAAAAATGCAAATGGTCAAAATACATCTTTTGGCATTAATAATACATTACGATATCACTGTGGGATGAAAATCCCTCTTCTTGCATCCCACAGATGCATGCCTCTATAATCCCAGCAATCCTACAGGGATACAAGAGGCAGCCGGGAGGACCTCTGAAGTTAGCTTGCTGTGAGCAGTGGTGAACAACAGAAGAGCCTGCTTCAAACTAGGTGGAAAGCAAGAACCAACATCTGTCCTCTGACCTCCAAGTGCACAACACCTGACCTGTAGTCACACCCATAAGCATGCACAAATAAACACATACACACACATACATACATACATATCATGCATAAACATACACATAACTCATTTTTTTCTTTTTGAGACAGCATCTCTCTATGAAGCCCTGGCTGTTTTAGAACTCACTATGTAAATCAAGCTGATTTCGAACTCACAGATCCACCTCCTCTGTCTCCTGATTGCTAGAATTAAAAGGGTAGGCCACCATACACAGGTTTAAAAAAAAAATACACTTTTAAAAAAGACAATCAGAAGATGTGAACCTCAGCTGAAACCGAGCCACATCCACATTACTTGTTTTTTGTATGACTGACTGTGGTGTCAGGGACCCAAATGAAAGCCTCACAGTTGCCATACAAGGACTCTACCACTGTGCTACAGCCCATCAATAAAAGTCAGTTCTCTATAAGCTAAGCTTCTGAAACTGTGGGGTACAGCTCGAAATAGGATCACCTATCAGAGTGGAAGTAACAGAAAGCTGGCAACAATACTGGGTTTCTAAACATGCAACAACCAAAAAGGAATTCAAAGTCAAACATGTACAATGCATCCAAGGTGCTGCTGGCAGTGTCTGACTATGTTGCACTGTACAACCGCACAGCAGCCTTGGTTCTACACACAGAACACAAACACATGCATGCACATTGCATTCTGCATGCAAAGCCAGCAAATGCTACCTGAAACACCACAGCTCAGTTCTGAGATGACATAAATTATAAATTATAAATTGTAGTGGTCTACCAAGTGCACAACACTTTCTGCTCAGATAGAAACATAATGGTTTGATCATTGGCAACAAAGATTTCACTACTTTCCTACAAACATTCTTCAGAACCTAAGTATCAAATTACTGTAACTTTGGTTTGCATTGCATTAGTGTGCTTAACTCTTAAAACTGTTGGTTGAGTTGGTGATGCAAAAATCATTAAATGAATTGTGGCACAAGATTAGGAGAGAATTTTTAGTAATTTCTAAAATGGCTGTAATGTATTTCTGCCACTTCATCCTATGCATTTGGGCAGAGTGGCATTCTCAGCATTGACAATCATAAAATAAAACTACTGGTCAACTGTGAAAAGCTCTGAAGAATGGTGTATCTTACTTCAGATATTCAGCAAAGATCTAATTCTTAAGGTAAAAATACATAAGCACATCTATCTCATTAGTATGGAAATTTGATTCCATCCTTAACAAATGGTAAGACTATATGTATACCAAAGAATTATTTTAAAATAAGTTTGTGATCTATTATCAATAAATGTTTGAATTAGATATATATTTACATCTATATACTCAGGATTGAGTAAAAATTTCTCTGACAACCACTGGGTATGAGAGACAGAGGCAGAGGCAGGTAGATTCTGTGAGTTCAAAGCCAGCCTGGTCTACAAAGCAGGCCAAGGCTACACAGAGAAACCCTGTCTTGAAAAAAATTTTCCCTGACAAAAGAGGGTCATGAGTTGAAAAAGATTAGGAAGTCCTGCTCTATATGACAATAAAAATTCACATGAGCCTTGTCCTACCAAAAGGATATAATCTTTAATGCCCCTCTACCCACCCCCACCCTATGCCATGGCTATGGAATACAATACATAAGAACAAAAGCCCACAAAGATAAATAAGCAGAGCCAGCTGGAGAGCACCACCAGCACCAACAGCTCTGTAATGGACTAGAAATGAGGGACTCCATGTCTCGTCTGCGGCCAGAGCAAAAAACTCAGGAGCCACCTATAACCACAACAGGGCCCAGGTCACTGTCTTTGGTAACAAATTACCAGTAATCATGGCAAGACAAGCTCTTTGGAAAATCTGCTGCAATGGAGTTCCAGGAAACAACAGACAGAAGAATAGAAGCAGAGAAGGAATGGGGAGGAACAGGATGAGCAGGGAGCCATGCACTACCAGCTAAGAAAGGGCTCTGGAGCCAAGTCCCACGCAACTAGAAGTGAGCCCCTATACTCCAGGTTTGTGGAGAGGAGAATGTGGCCAGTGGAAAAGCTGAAGGCCCAGCAGCTAGAGGCTATCGGATGGAGCCACTCTTGTTGTAGGTAGCAAATGGAAGGAAAATCTGAGCAACACATCTTTTTGTGTGCCACAGTAATATTTTTTCTATGTTTTACTACTTTTATTTTTTGAGATTGTAATATAATTATTGTATCATTCCCTCTTCCCTTTTTGCCTTCCAAACCTTCTCATATTCTCAAGAAACCATAAGAAGCTACTATTAAGTAGCTCCCTAAAAAAGATTTTTAAAAACTCTAATACATGTAAGTCCCACAATAATATCTATTAATTATGTTATTCTCATCAGATTAAAAGACTGGAACCCTAAAAGAAGTGCAGTCCACATCAGGGGCCCAGATGCTCCCTCTAGCTTTGTTTCAAACTTCAGCTGGAAGTGGCTTTGCACTGAGGTCCCTCTGAGGTCCTCCTGCTGTTCTATTGCCTGCTTCCTGAGGGTTCATTTTGCTTGAACAAACACACAGCTTCTGCATTCTCCTTCAAGGGAATCTCTCGGCTACAAGGTAGGATTCAGCTTTGGATACCATTATTCAAGAAGGTGCTAGGTGAATTAAAGATTCAGGGTGAGCTGGGTAGTGGTGGCGGCGGTGGCCAACAGCAGCACAAACCTTTAATCACAGCACTGGGGAGGAAGAGACAGGCGGATCTTTCTGATTTCAAGGCCAGCCTGGTCTACAGACCTCCAAGATAACAAGAATCTACACAGAGAAACCCTGAATAAAAAAAAAAAAAAAAAAAAATTTAGGGTGGATCTTGTCTTGATCTAGATTAGTGTCTGACATGCATACTGCTCTCCAGACTTTTAACTTTTAACAAAAACCAAACTGGCACTGAGTTATACTTTCAGTTTCCAAAACACATACTGATATTCCTCAGTTGTTTTTTTTTTTTTTTTAATTAGTATATAACAAAGAAAAGCACCGTTTAACATGAGAAAATGGGAAATGCATCAAGTAGACTGTCCAAGTCTACCATGAAAATCATCTCCAATTCAGTTAAGGTCAGGTCAGGACAATCATCACTACTTCTCAAAATTATTCTGATTAATAAAACGAGTCTCCTTTAAGGATATTAAAAAGTAAACTCTAAGGCTTAGATATGAAACATATCTAATGCATGAGGTAACAATATTTCTAAAAGGACCTGTGAGATGGCTTAATGAATAAATTCACTTGCCACCAGGCCTGGCAGCCTGAGTTCAATCCCTAGGACCTACATGATGGTTGAAAAGTATTAACTACCAAAGTTGTCCTCTGACCTTCACGTGTTCCATAATACATGCACTCAACATACACTTGCATATATGTGTGCATCCACACACACAAACAACATAATTTTTTAAAAAGAATATTCCCAAATGACAGAACTTAATATAGCTCAGAGGCTGAAACAATACCCATTCCTATGCTTCTTTCTGTACACTAATACTCTGAGGGCTGTTTCTTATGGATTAAACCCTATGAGGGTCAATAAATATAAAGCCAAACACAACTACCTAGTCTAAATGCTAAGCCTGTATCTCAGAAGTCCCAGATGAAGCCTACCTTTGGTGAGGCAAATGCAATCTGGTATTTCTTGTACTGCAGCTGATATTCTATGCTACACTGCTGTGAATGCCACATAAGCTATTGACATCTTGTTTGTAGTTTCACTGGAGAATAAAATAAAAAAAAAAATTCAAGAAAGCCACACGGTGTGAATAAATATTA